TTTTTTTTTCAGTCTAAGGTTCAAATTAGTCTTTAAATTTACACTACAGGTTGTCATCTTTCCTCCTTCATGCACAGCATTTTGAAGAATCTTCTGCTTTATCAAAGCTTTCTGTGGTTTAGGCCGTTTTATTTTTTCTAATACTGCTAATTTCTTAAAGAACTTAATTTTCATTCTACCTTTTTTGACCTAATATGCAAACTTTCGATTAATCTGCTTAATATCATTTAAAATTTCATCAAACCTTTTGCCTTCATAGCATTTATTCACAATAAGAAATTGGGAATATTTTGTAAGAAAGTCTGACAGTATTCTCGGTCTTCCCAGTCAAATATCTCTCAATAGGAAAGAAAGTAAAAGATTCTTGACCTTTTATGTATTATTACGCTCTGTTCCCACTTTTTTTAAAAGACTTTTATCCTTTTCTATAGAACAGTTCAAATGAAGCTTTTTAAAAAAAATCATTTAATTAAATTACTGTGTATAAATTACCACGTGATTCAGAGTGTAAACACATTGCCCTGCTAGACATAAAACCATTGTCTGTTTGCTGAAAGAGCCTCAATTTTAAACCTATAAAAATTGGAGTCGTGTATCAACCAGGTGATTTTCCAGTAGGTAGAAAAAAATTTTACGAGAATTAAGTGACAGAGAGACAGCAGAGACACACTAATTGATTGATTAAAGATTAGGATTGCTATTCAGTTGGAAATAGGAAGTTCTGCTTAAATCAAGAGTTCCACTAATGACGGGAGAAATTTACCACTGGTTACGGTAGTGAGACAACTGTCATCTCTAGAAAGCACTTTTTCGTCCACAAAGTTGGTGGTCTTTGGTACATAAGTTCTCCAGCAGACTATGTGCTGCTGCTCTTGCAATTTCCGAAGCAATTTCAGACAGCATAGCATCTTAGCATAAAAAACGTATGCGGTTGTATATAAGAATTTCGAACAAAGAAGTGGCGAACTGCGAAGACTTTTGTCTCGTTTTAGTAAATTAGAATACGAAAAATGCAGAAACATTTCAAAGCTTGAAAGCCATGAAAAGAAATGGGAGGCGAGTAGCAATTCTGCTGAAGAGCACTTAGCAGTGGATTACCAAAGTGCCGGCACGGAGCTTTTTGCTTTACAAAATTAGCATCGACCATTCAGCATCGATCAGTTACAGAAAAGCTCTCAAAAAAGGTACAAATTTAGACTCTTTCACTGAACAAGCTTTCGCATAGTAAGCCCTTCCACATGACTCACCTCTCTTTTTCAGTAAATTTGGATTCTTAAATTACCATCCGAAATTGCAGTGGTTTTTGAGGAACAGAATCACATCACGTCCAGCCAATCCGGCTTGCAGATATTGGGCTTAAACGACATCTCTACATGATCATAGATATGTAGCGAGAAAACAAGACTCATTTAAATGCTCCAACCATCCTATTGAGATACTGTTTTTTACCTCTTTACACTAACTTTCTAAATCTGACAGCGCTTGAAACTTATTTGCCACCGCATTTTTGATTGTATAGACGCAGATTTTTTTTCCTGCGAAAAATCAAATGCATTTCATACTGGTAACATGTTTTATTTTAAGAAACCAGTTGAAGATGAGAGATGGCCTATGAACTTTTACCATATCATAGAAAATTTTTTAATATTTAGACTTTATTTCCCTTTTTAGAGTTATGATTTCTTCAAGACCAAAGAAACGACGCCAATGAAGGAGAAAAAAAGGCTTGAACCTGATATGAATCTTAAAAGTCATGTCTTTACAACACAAAAATGAATTGTGCAAACTGAGAGTAATGCTGTGCCCGCAACATCAGTGAATCTTTTGCAGCCCAAATCAGGCTTCTCCTGGCAGTCTCGCGCAAGTGATCCCAGAGCTTACTAATTTTTACAAATTCTACAATTGAAAAAAATGACTAATCAGCATTCTAAAATGTACTTCTTTGTACTTTTCAGCTGGCCTTCGCTAATCGTCTACTGGTGTCAAATTCTCTTAGTCATCAGCGACAAAAAACTCATCTGGTAAAGAGCATCAATGCAGTCACCAATCATTTTAATATGTCTATTTGGATCCTTTAATATCTGATTTTTCTGCCTTCATCTATTGCCAAGCATCTGTCCTTTACACTACGTACTACATTCTCCCAAGATGCTAGTTTTTCCTTTGCTGACTGAATGTATTGTTCATAACGCGCCTTTTGAGCTATAATTCTCTGTTTGATCTCTGAAAATGCGCTGATTTTTCGTGACCGCCCTAAAGGTAGTCACGGTGTATATCTTTAACTGACTTTAGCAGCTTGGATAAAGTACTTAGAACTTTTTATTACAACAAACTAGCGTTCAGTTAGCGACAAAACGACATGTGATTACCACTGAGGTGTAATTATAGCAAAAAAAGACCTTCGAAAAACGTTTTAAAAAATAAGAAAGAAAAGCTAATACGAAGAAGAAAGACAAGGATTAACTGACCACGATAGCCAAAAATGACAAGTAAACTTAACGCACAGTTTTTAGGTTATGTTACAGTTAAATATAACTTAGATCAGTCAACCTATACAACAGATATTCAGTAGCTTATTTATTCATCTGCCACTTTTTTTTTCTGTTCTTGACAATACGCTTTGCAAAGAACTAAACGAGAAAGTTAAACTCAATTAATTAAACTGCGTGCATTAAAAGCAACCAAATGACAATAAAGCAGCAGTGCGAGAAGAACAATTTTTTTCAAAAATGAGAATAGATTTTGTCATACAAGTTTGTAATGGCAGATCACATGCTGAACTAAAAGAAAAAGTACTTATTGTGATACATGAGGCAAAATCGTTGAAAGGCTATACGATGCCTAAAAATCCAGAAATATCTCCAAAAATAAACAACGGCTGGTCAAAAAAATTTTTTTCAATTTTAAGACGTACGTAACATAAGTTTCTGTGGCATTCCGAAGCTTAAATAACGAGTGAAGAAAGTTGAAAGATGTGTAACTCCGGATAGAGAATAATAACTTATTTGAAATCACGATTAGCAAGCCTGTTTTACATAATACCAGCAACTAAGCCTTGGTTTTTGAATTTGACTTCTGGCAACATTTAGCCAGAAGACCCAAAATGACACTCTTTTCCCCTCTCTATGTTTCAGAGCTTCTCCATATGCTTCTCCATTGTTATTTAAAAGACAGAGTAGACGCATATAGTTTTTTGTCTGAAATGGATGCTCGGTATGACGCATTAAATCGTTCTTTGTTTCAACTTTGTAACAAGGAGTGGTCAAAGTCACAAAGGCGTAATTTTTTAATATATATATTTAGCGATTTCAGGAGAAGAAATGCTATTTGTCCCCGACGGCATTTATGACGAGAAACCCTGCCTAGAAGCGTTTCATGTCAAAACTAGAGTAATATTTAGAAGCTTACTGGATCACCGTTGCTCTGCTAGAATACTTGAAAAGGCAGGAGCCGGAAAAATAGAACAGTACAGAACAATTGCTTGAAATGCTGGCAGCGTTCGACGTCTCAAATTTTTCCTTACACCGGCAAGGATCAAAAAAGAAAAGTGTTGATCTTTGAAAGAGTGAAATAAATCTTATGAAAAGCAATTATGTTGCCATTTTAATATTTTCACATGATGAGTTTGCCAGCTCAAACCGCATTCTTATCAATGCTTC